ATATTCATTAAGCCTCATGAGCCTAGAATCCCTCTTGCGTTCAGGAAATCTGATATAGGTGTTGAAGTTACGTAAGTTCCACTGATTCTTAAACCCACAGGCTAATCTCGGACCATATTCATGGAAGCTCCTTTATTTGGATTTCTTTTCCAATCCTCATGTGCCTTAGGTTTTTTGTAGGAATCCTCTGTTGAAGCAGTTTGAGGTGTCGTCTTGGCTACAACTGCCCTGTCTATTCTCAAACCCACAGGCTAGTCCCAAATTACATTCACGGAAGCCCTCATGTTCGGATGTTCTTCGCATGCATTCTCCGTTGAATTGACAACTTCTGAGTTTTGGACCTTCATCTCTACCTTGCACTTCTGGATTGCTTGTTCTAAAGGATCCTCAAGGTTTCCAAGAACCTTAGCTGAACAAGCTGGGGTTTTATCCTGGTTCACCCGAGGAATCTCCTTGTATGTCCATTTCTCATTCGAGGGCCACTGTGGCTGGATATATCCCGGTGTAATCAATCTGGCTGTGAGCATTTCTGAACGTAATTTTTCAAGTGAAAAGTGGAAGGGAGGGAACTGAAAACCCTGCACTTTATTTTTCTTCTCATTTAGTCCCCATGACGAGAGACTACTGGCTGATGACTTTATAGATAGAACTTGAGTGTCCTGTCTTGATGATTGAAAAGGGGTATAACCTCTAATTATGAGAGGTTGATCCTTCTTGGTCAACATTCGGTCATATTCTTTGACCCTCTTCTATGAGTGAAACTTATCTCTCACAAGGGAAAGCTCATTTTCCATGGTTGGCCTAGTGGAACCTTCTATAATCATATTTGGTTTTTGGGGCAGACCTGAAATATCTGGCTCTTTAACAGGTCCTCTGGTCATTATCGTTTCAGCTTCATCACCAGCATTCATAGGATCCACTAGTGACTTCTCTCCATGGATCACAACATTTATCATATCCATTAACTAGGTCATCTGCTCTCTGGATTCATCCTAAAATCTTCTTGTTTGATCAATCATCTCTCGTTGAGTTTTCATGAGTTGCTCTTGAATTTTCTCGATCTTACTAACACGCGCTAGTATCTCATTCATCATTGTGGATCTTCAAACACGCTTCAGATAATCTTTAATTTGCATTCAAAGCTTGTTTGTTCCCTTTATGAGACATCTCTTGTTAGAAATGAAAAAACGGGAAAGAAAATAAAAATAATGCATAATATGCAAGAATGCATGATGCATGAAATGTTCGAGGCATTGATCCAAAAATGTGACTGTTATTATAAATAATCCTTATTGGGGACAAATGTGTTTTATCTTTCAAGAGACCAAAAATATCATGGCAGCTTCTGACATGCTGACTAGTCTTCTGCGTTCATCAGTCACCGGTTGAATAACTTGTCGTACCTCTCCGTCTTCTCTGGATGAACCGTGCAAATATTGAGTTGCTTCTTGTACTGGCACAAGAAGTTTCGAATGACTGCATATCGGACATTTATCTTTTATTGAGCATGTTCCCAACGAATACGTCATTGGAACCCTCAATTGATAGGAACTATGTGAAGTTTATTTGTCTGTTTCTTGAATTCGTCAGCAATGGTCTCCAATTTCAGCTAATGTTTTGTCATTGTTGTCTTCGAAGGGACTCCCAAGATCAGTAACCTTCATCTTGCCCCTGCAATCTTTTCCAGTCAGTACTTCAAAGATAGACTTTTATTGTGCTTGATGTAGACCCGATTCATTCTGAGTCCTTTATAATGCAACAAAGTGATATACTCTTCAATTGTGAGCACCACGTCTTCTAAATTGAATGTGACATATAGTCACCTTGTAGACTGTACTTTGTATTTTCATCTCTTGTATTACAACCCCTTTGTCCATTAATGCAGATTATTCATGCTTAACAAATATGTTTTTGGTGGATCAACACCTCTTTTAAATGATGCAAGTGCTTTAAAACAAACACAAAGGTAAAAAGTTAGCGAAATAAAAATGATGAAAAAATGATGAAAGAAAAAACGAAAAGTAGAAAAACAAACAAATTTCAAGGTTAGGGTAAAAATATCCTAGATTTTGGAATGTGGTTTCGGGGTAGGCTCTAATTCTCCATAGTCTCCTGGTTTAGGTTCTAAAAAAATGGTACCCGAGTTCTTCTTGTCGGTGCCCCATTGGGCTTACCAGACCTTTAGTCCAAAACACATCACAGGCTTGTGTGGACTAAGTTAAACTCGAGAGGACACATTCCCTTATGCCCGCACTGTGAATAAATTCACACGAAGACATAAGATATATGAATCCCGAAGGCTACTTGCTAGGCTCGCACGGTGAATAAATTCACACGAAGGCGTCGCTTTTACCCCCACTTAAAACGGGTTTGGAGCTCGGGTTTAGAGCTCGGGTTTAGAGCCTTAAGTGAAAAAAGCTTTGAAGGCTGAAATCATGAGAAAACGATTAGTACAACTATTTACTCGAAAATATAATCAAAAGTAAGTAAAAAGGATCGAAATGTTACCTTAAAATTTAAACTTACCCTTTTCGTTAAAAAGACAACTGGAAATTACCTTAGTCTGACTCACTTACCTGTGTCCCCAGTGGAGTCGCCAATCTGTCGGAATCGTCTTTCAGGTGGGCCCGAAATTGGGCTTCGATGTGGATTAAATGGATTGGAGTCGCCACCGATCATTTATTTAGAAATAAATAGGTTGATCGGATATCTTATTTCTTATCTGATCTGCGTCTTACCAAAGATGTGTCAGATTCGGGAGTCGGTTACAGTCAAGGAAGAGTTAGCACCCTTGAATCACCCTTTCGGTACTGTGTAATCTCCAGTTGTCTTTAATTAAGAAAGTTGTAATTTTAAATTGAAAGGTAAAATAACGATCCAAAACTTACCATTGATTGGTTGAAAATGTACCATTTTTAAGTCGAAAGATATGTAAAAAAATGATAATAAATAATAAAGTAAAAAAATGATAATAAATAATAAAGAAAAAAAATGAATGAAGTAAAGAAAACAATAAAGAATAAATCAAATAAAAAAATTAAAGATAAAAATGAATGAAATAAATAAAACGAATAACATAGAGAACAATAATAATAAAAATAATAATATATACATAGCAAACAACTAAATAAAAATAAGAAGATAATGCAAATAAATAAATAAATAAATGAAAGAAATAAAAGGGAGATGAAATATAAAAATAAAAAGAAAGTAAAAATGAATAAATAAAATAGAAAAGTAAAATAGAAAAGAAAATAATAATAATAATAGAAATAATAAAATAGTAAAAGAGTATAAAAAGAAATAAGTAAAATATATATATACATATATGAAATAAAAAATAATATTAAAAATAATACTAATAATAGTTATAGTAAAAATAAATATAAATAAAAATATAAAACAAATAGTAAAAATGACCATGACGATATTAAATTGGAATGAAATCAACTTGGAGGGTCAAATCCAGAAGAAAATCAGCGTTGAAATTACGAATTTGGGACTAAAATGAAAGTTTCAAAAATAGAGGGGGACCAAAACAGGGGTTAACCCGCATTTTTTAAAAACACGCGAGTCGTTTGGACCCATGGATCGGGTCGCAGGTCACACACGGGCTGGGTATATAACCCATTAACACAAACACATTTTCATTTTTAACCCACCCCCATTTGGATCAAAAACCAAAATCTCATTTTCTCTTATAGACTCATGCATGTTTTTCATGAACGAAGAACACGCCGCCGTATAAACCCAGAAATGGTCATCCGCCGCCTCGTCGGCCGCCGGTCATCGGCGGCAAAACTTAAATTTTTTTTTATTTTTAAACAACTTTCCTTCCCCTATTCAAAGAAATCAAAGTGATTTTGTTAAAATCGAGCCTCGGGGGATGGATCTAACTCGAAAGATCTCGACAAGCCCCTATGTTCATCGGCTAAAAAGGCTTCTTTTGGGTTTTATTCAAGCCACAATAATGAAGGAGATACGCATGCAAGGTAAAAATAACGGCAAACAAGGTAAGCAAACACTACCTCTTTATTTCCTTCAAAAAAAATGGTACAAAATGCTTCGAACTCTTGCTAATATTTTCGTGTGTAAATCTCTGGTAATCTATTCGTAATATCCCCCTACAATGAGTTCGATTACACTTATTTATAGTGAAAAATTTCCTATTTTTAACTATAGTGTTTGAGCCCTAATCGAACTACAACTCCTGATTTTATGGTGTTCTTGTGGCTTTGGACTCTTACTAACGTGTGGTTCGTTTGTTAAACCGAAATGATCGGTTGTGGGTTGTTGTTGGGGCTAGGGAACCAGCAGAAGTCTCGGCCTTGCTTGTTGGTTCGGCTAGGTGAATGACACGACGCCGTTGGAACACAAGGCTTCTGGAAACCCTAGCATCAATTCGGGTTGCAGATCTGGACCGGTTCGTGTTGCGTGCATGCTTGGGTCTTGGGGGCTCTGTTGGGCTGCACATGTTGGGCTTGTAGTTGGTTTTGTATTATGAAAATGTAATAAAAATAAAGTGTAAATATATATATATAAATATATATTATAATATAATAACACAAATGTGTTGGACAAAATTTAGTGTCTTCAATATATATATTAATAACATAAATTTTTTAAATAGAATAAACATAAATATAATTTTAAAATAGATATCATAAATAAAATAAGTAAATAAATAATTTGAATTTCAAGATGTATAGTTATGGATATCACAGTTTATAATATGTTTTAAATAGATATAAAAAAGTTGTTTATATATAAATGCTCGAAAATGAAATGCCTCCTAGGAACATCATATCCCGTCAATAACATATATTTTTAGCCAAAACGTCAAAATCTAAATTGATATCAAAATCGGATAACATTTGACACGTAAGCCTCTTGATTTTTATTTATTTTCGACCGTAGATTCTTTCTCCCTTTCTTTTCTGCTGCAGTTATACACTATAAATACACAGGCAGGCCCTTGACGCTGAGCGGATCTCAAATCCCTTCCAGACGAACAGAGCAAAGCTGCTAAATCATTCAAATATCAGAATTTCTTTTTGGCACTTTCTTTACAATTTACAAAGGAAACGAAAGCAAAGTATGGATAGGAATGGCCTGCAACACCAAGTTGCCTGCATGAGACGGTCCCTCTTTGATCAGGTCCTCTCTCTCCCCTTTTCATTATTTTTAATACTCTCCGTCTAGTTTTAGAAAACATATTTGATCATGAAAAATGATAATTATCTTATTTTAATACACGTGAAAGAGCGAGATATAAAAGTAAAAAATAAAATATAAATATTATTATTTATTTATATTTTTGAATGAGATATTTTGAACGATCTAATTTTAAAAATGGAAAAAGAGACATATGAGGTTTGTTGAATTTTATTTACAAAAGCCTCTTATAGGTCGACACTAGAAAACCCTTTTTCTTGAATTTTATTCACTATTTCTAGTTTCGGTTGCTTGGGAATTAAGCCAACGGGCTGAAGTATATATCTTGGATGGTTTTGTTTAACTTGAAGCCCACTCCAAGAAGCAATTTAGTGTCAATGGGCCAAACAGAAGTTTTTACCCTTTAGACTTGGTTAATTTGCACTCGACTACTCGAGCTTTTAATTTATTCCTCTTTGCTCTGCTTTTTTATTATTATCTTTTCCCTTTTCTTAATTTTAACAACATAAGCTACAGGAATCACTTTTTAATTAATATATAAACATGCTTGTTTTTCACTGATTGCACCTTCCCACTTGTATTTTTTATCCGAGCATTGCATCTCAATAGTGTGCCGAGTTAAGTTTTCTATTTTTCTTTCCCATGCTTAATTTCGTAGCCAAATCAAGTAAAATGTGCATGTTGAAGCATTGTTGTAGGGTTATCTTGACGAGCAATTCATCCAGCTGGAGGAGTTACAAGATGATGCCAATCCTAATTTTGTACAAGAAATTGCCACACTATTTTTCACTGACTCAGCTAGATTGATTCAGAACATCGAACAGTCACTGTAAGGGGAACATTAACATATAAAAACATATAGTCTTATAATAATTGTCTTTATGGTTAGTATTACAGTGACAGATACTTGCATGCATGCAGGAATAGTTGGCCTATTAACTTTAATAAACTGGATGATTACATGCACCAATTCAAGGGTAGCACTTCCAGGTAACCTCCTATAAACCTACATTCGAAATCAATAATTAAAAGTGAATTGATGTTTTATTAGTAGCAGTGTAACTGTTTTGCTAAGTTACTTATGATTTACTTGAAGCATTGGAGCTAAAAAGGTGATCAATGAATGCGCAGTGTTCAGCGAATACTGCAGTGGGGGAAATGCTGAAGGGTATGTATTTTTTCCTCTACTTTTCTCTAATACATACGGATTAGTACATTGCCTAACTGAACTAAACTTATGGCCGTTCTGAATTAAACTTGCAAAACCTTTTCTTTTATATAGATGCATTAGGAGTTTACAACAAATCAAGCAAGAGCATGCAATCTTGAGGAAGAAGCTTGATATTTACTTCCAGGTCTCGTGTTATTTATATAACCCATTATTATATTTACACTGGCCTGTTTATAACTTATAATTGTACGAATTTTTCTGGTTATTTTCAGATGGTGAGACAGGCTGCAGATGCTCACATTGCATGAGGGGGCGGGGCCCTGTAAGACAGATGCTAGAAATGTTGACGCACTGGCCTTCACTAGAATCAGTTCAGCACTATGGAAACAAGATTTTGTTTTGTAAATGAAGCATTAGCAATTATGCGTATCTATCAATAATGAGGTGCCGATTTATATATCCTATTATCAAGTTGCTTCCCCGGCGCCCGCCAAAACTCCTTTCCATTACTTGGTGGGTTGGCAGGAATACACACACACGCATATATATACATAGTGACAGAACGTCGAACTTTATGGAAAGTTGACAGTGTTAGTGGCTTGATTTCAAGTTCCATATTTAAGGTCTGTTTGGAGGAAGGTCATGGTCTTCCCCGCACTTCGAAATTGAAATGAAATGGAGGGATCAGGTCATGGTCAGAGTTTCAAATTGCGGTCGCGATCGCGTTTTCGGTTATTTCGGATTTACCGCGACGCTATTGCGGCCATCGCGGGTAACTCGGACGGCGGCGAAACCGCTATATCGCGGCCGAAATCGCGGTCGCGGATCATTTTTTAAAACCCTGGTCATGGTCATCATTCATAAGTAAACAAACAACATTACTTTTGCAAATCAAAACTCTTTTCATAAGTAGAAGATGACTAACATAGCAGATACGGTCGCTTTTGCAGGTTAAAAAACTCAACAGTTTTAAGCATATTTGATGTAGTTGTAAATATGAATTAAGAGGAAGTGATTTGGTTGGATGCAGGTAATTAGCAGCAGGCAAACTTGTAATCATAATTAAAGATCAAAGAAGTAAAGAGAAGAAATAAAAGGGCAAAAAGAAAAGGTCCAAAAAGGCTCCTCTTAAAGTGAAGTTGGGAATTATCAGGTCAGGCAGTGATGGATCATATCTTAATAAGTGGGATATTATGGCTCCACCACCATTTACAGATGGTGAGCTCAAAAGGGTTAGTTGTTCTGCTAATAATAATGATGGCCAAGACTTTTAACTTCGTTTTTTTCTTTCTTCTTTTTCCTCAATATTCATTGAACATATCCATTGCCTTCTCTGAAAAGAAAAAAAATAAATACATATACCATCATTTAAATAGCGACTGCAATATGTTGTTATAATTTTTATTTTGCGGTTTGGGTTTCATAGGATATCGATACTCACTGCAATTTACTTGAACAACATTCGTTTTGTCCATAACCATTATAAACCCAAAGCGAGTAAGACTGTATTCGGGTCTCAATTTGAACTTTTGATACATGGTAACTTGAACTTCATTGTCCGAAAATGCTAAACCCGTCAAAGAAAAGGTAGGCGTCTCCACCCATCCATGAAACGCGGATTGCAGAAAGCATGCTTGATAGAGGTTTAAGAGTCAACAATATAATAACGACAAAAACCCAAGGCATTGTAAAATATATGTAATTATTACTTTTTTTTCCTTTTAAATCAAGACCTTATCAGGATTCTAGTTTCTTGGTTCAACAATGTTGGAAAATATTTCCTTGTTTTCTACACGTTGAAAAAGTTGACTGCGTTTACTTGTACTATTACACAAAACCGACGTGAAATACAGCACACGGTTTACTTCCTTTCTTCTTTGGGATGATTTTAAATGTGGTGTGTATATATTGTATCAGCTTAATACAGCACAGGAGAATACATTGCAGGACATGTATTTAATCAAATGCACAAATGTATGCTGTCCTTATCATGTATAAATTCTATCTGCCTAAAAGCCTAGGATAAGGCATCATAAGAGTCTAGGCTAGCATTAGATTCTTGACAAAAAAGAAGAAAGAACAATGTTGTCTTGTCTAGGTCATGAATCAGTATTATGAGCAACTGTTCTGTCTGCAGTTTCCTTTTTTCTGTCCTAAACTAAGTCTGAGGAAGAAAATAGGAGAGCAGACTTAAAAGAAGTTCAAAGAGCCACTTAGCTATATTTCCCCCAACAAGCTTGCCGTATATCACCAACTTTTATTGCCTTATATCGCCCTTTCCATGAAAATGCATCAAAATTCTTATTTATAGGCTGGTGAAGCACTTAGCTTTTCTGGGTTGTTGTTGGTTAGCCTCTATGTAAACTCAAGTAGGCTTATCTAATCCTACAAACTGTTTTCAGTACTTTGTTTTTCCTGCAGTTCTCTTATGATCCATATGAATTTCGAGTAGTTTCTTGATTGAAGTAGTCATTTTCACTGCAGTTTGCATATACATAGAACCAGATAGGATTATCTTTCATATTTCCCTTGTTATGGCATCTGATAAGACGGAGGAGTATCATCAGTTTCCGACTCTAAATACTGTGAACAAAGAATGGCTAGTAAATCATAAAGTCTCAGAGGATACGAAGTTGGAGCTGAGGCTTGGTCCTCCTGGAGAAGCCCATGGCTACAACAGCAATACAAGTCATGGAACAAAGAGAGCTTTCCATCACACAACAGATGAGACAAGAATAGGAGAGAAAGCAAGTGATAAAGTGAATTCTACTCCAACTCCATGGTTTGCTGGCATGGCTGAGGACTTTAAGCAACCAAGTAGCTCTAAGATGACACTGGGAGAGTTTCAATTTTCTGATAGGAAAGCATGTTGTACTCATTCTACTGCTGATCCAGACGCCTCGACAAACAATACCTCAAATAAAAGGTTGTTATTCCTTAAACTTTGATACTTAGCTTGTATGATAGGCACTAGAAAAGATTCTTTCATATGCAAAAAATTGAACGAGGTTTTGTTCAAGGAGCTCAGCATGGTTTGATTCAAGTATGTCTAGGATGGGAAAGGTGTTTCAGTGGCTTGTTTTCAGTTCTAAAAATGCCGTGATTTCCTTTTTTTTTTTGGGTTGGGGGGGGGGGGGTTACTTAGTTTTATTGCTTATTTCGTATCAGCTCTTCTTACATCCTCAAAATGAACAGAATTGCATATTCCCCAGTTGTTGGGTGGCCTCCGGTTCGATCATTCCGGAAAAATCTTGCAAGCAACAGCTTGTCGAAGCCAGCTTCTGAATCATCAAATGACAAGGACACTGAAGTCAAACCAGAAAATCCCAAAACTCAGTTGTTTGTAAAGATCAACATGGAAGGAATCCCTATTGGAAGGAAAATAAATCTCAGTGCCTATAGCAGCTATGAGGAACTCTCACTTGCTATAGATGAACTGTTCAGTGGTCTGCTTGCAGGTTGGTCCATAAACCAGGTTATTTATGTTAATTTATGTTAGCTTAAGTTGACTGGTTTGTTTTACAACTATATCTTAGCTCAAAGAGATCCATCTGCCACCCAAAACGAAAGCAAGACCAAGGAATTAGCCAAAGCAGATGCAGGTTCATTAGCTGGAAGTGGGGAATATACTCTAATTTATGAAGATGATGAAGGAGACAGGGTGCTTGTTGGAGATGTCCCATGGCAGTAAGCATTTTTCTCTCATATGAGGTCTTAGATTATAACATCAGCTTACACAAATTGAATTCTTATAAATGAATCCTTCAACTATTATTCAACTGCAAAAATACAAAAAACATGAATCAAACAATGAGTATACATAACTTCCAATTATGACAATTGATCTTCTTCTTCTTCTTTTCATTTTGGCTCCAATAATTTAATCCTAGAATTCATGTATTTGGCAGCATGTTCGTTTCTACTGCAAAGAGGTTACATGTATTGAAGAGTTCTGAAACTTCAACTCTACAAGGTAAGTTGCCCATTTTCTTCTATTTTCATTAAAAGCTAGAAAATTGAAAAGTGTCAATTTCTATTGATGAACTTGCTAAGAACTATGGGGAATTTGGATGCTTTCAGTTTGTAGGAATGAGAAAGAAAAGGCCCCATTGGATCCTGCAATCCATATTTGAAGGTAACTTCATGAGAGATGGTGAATTTTGTTATATCTTTCAGGTGGAGAAGTTCTGGTGGTGAGAAACTTCGAATCTATCATTTGCAGTCATTTTCATGGAAGTTGGCATATGAGCTATGATGTTCATAGAATAAGTTAGTGAATATGATTTGGTGGATTCTCTGAGATGTATTTCAATTTCAATGTTGCTTCTTTTTCTTTTCTACTTTCAGAGGTCAACTGGGTGTTTGGAAATGGAAACTTGAGTATCTCTTTTGAAATGCTTTTGAAAAGTTAATTTAATTTCTTAAAAAGATTAAAATATAAAAAAAAATTATTAAAATTTTGGAATAGTATTTCTGAATTTCTGAATTCATATTTAAGATATTGTTATGTGTTATTTATTTATTTATGTATGAGAACAATATATTACAATATCTCATACACGCTTATGAAATCTTTTTATTTCACCCTTGTATTAAATAATTATATATATATATATAACAATCTTTTGCTTTCATCCATTAATACATAAGAACAAAGACTCGTTTGCTTGGATTGAATTATTTTTACTTAATATGAGTTTTATAATTAGGTAAATTAAAATGTGTTTTTAAATTCAATATTTTAATTAATTTTAAAATTTTCAACTGAAATACATCTTAGATTTATATCTAAAAAATATTAACTCATAAATAGAGTTTAGCCTCTCTCTTTTTTTTTATGTAGATTCGGTCCCATTTTGATTCCCTACTTGCACGAGAATAACTTATAAAATTATGAGTGATGAAATGAGAATGTTAATACAAAAAAATGCAAGAGGAACAGGCGGCCAACGACTCTTGATGAGTGAGTGAGTTGAGCAAACTTTTTCTCTTTCTTTCTTTCTAGATAAAGGGTGTGAAAGAAATCCGAGAAAAATAGAATAAAAACTAAATGTGAGATATTCAAACCCAAACCGTAGCTAGTTGAATAGTCAAGTATTCCAATACATACATTTCTTCGAACAATATATTAATTATGCGTCACAAAATACAAAGCATACCAACCTTCTCTTCTCACTTTGTTTCTTTTATTGAATATTTTAGATGTTATGCCTCATTATAATTTTCTACATCATTTTATCTATTACTAAAATAATTTAATGTTGAATGAATTTATTTGATATATAAAAATATGAATATAATGGTGAGAGATTACAGATAAAAGATATTTTAAAAATTTTTTTTTAGTCTAAATGATTATAAGATAATATATGTTCAAAATAATCTCAATTATTTGATAATAAACATTCAAGCACTCCTACTGCATATAGATATTCAAATCTAAGAATTCTAAAAATGACAATTTTTTCTTTTACCTCTAAAATTACTTGATAAATTTAATTTTTCTTTTATTTAGATGGATAAATGGTTGAAATTTTGTATTGAATCTAATAATATAAAGTATAAATCTCGATAATAACATCTCATCTCATTCTTCAATTTATAATAAAAAAACAATTTTATATCATCCATCAGTTGGTCTAGTAGGATAAAACATATCTTAAATAAGTTAGAGGTTTAAATCTTAATGTTTATGAATGAATCAAATTGAGTTTGGAGGGACGTTATCGCTTAGGCGGTATCCAATACGGATTAGTTCGTTGATAGTTTGAATATTGGTTATTATAAAAAAATAATTTTATAAATTAAAAAAATAAAGAAAATATTATGCATCTCGAAGCTGTCTAACCAGCAGCCCACTTTGGTTGACTATTCAACCGACATTTTCTCACAAAAAAGGAAGGTCACACTGTATTTGCAATTAGTTGAGGAATTACAGCACGCTTCATTTGACGGAAAGCACTTTGTTAAAACAAAAACTGTAAGATTTAATTGCATAAAAGGTCCTCAAATTATGATTATCATTTTAAACTGGTTTTTAATTTTTAAAATATTAATATTATTTCAATTAATTTTTATTATATTGTACGAGAAGATTTATTTTTTATAATCACTAATATTTAATCTATTAATTGATTAAATCGGATTATGTATTACAGAGACAATGACAGTTCTTCAAACTCAATTTGATTCACTCGAAAACAGTAAAATTCAAAGCTCCAACTTTTTTAAAAGGATCTAATACTCTATTTCACTAGATCATCTAATTGTTAGTATACGAGAAGTTTTACAAAAAAACAAATAAATAAATAAATGTAAAGCCCAAATTACATGTTTTAAAAAGCAAACAAATTGGAATGTCCTTAGAAAACTCAAATGTTTACTAATTAATTATTGCAAATGAAAATAAATTTATTTGTATAATCAGCTAAAAAACTATAAGGTGGTATTAAAATTCATTGGATGGAGACTTCAAATTTTCTAAGATTTTAGTCATTCAAATCATATACGCAGGTCCTCGTTTTATAGTAAAGAAATTTGAAAATATGGAACATATTTATATTCTAGAAATTACATTTAAGATACTACTTTCAATAGAACCTACTACTCCAATTAAAAAAACTTCGGATAAGTAATGGCAGAATTGTAAATAAATAAAAAAAGTTTAGCATAGAAGGAAAGGCTTCATAGTTTAATAATGTCACAAATGAACGAGTCCCGATCCTAACTCGGCTTTTCCCGTTGATACAAACTGTGCTGAAAATGTCTGAACTATGCTTATTCTCTCTCTTCCTTCTCTTCGTCTCCATACCCTTCAAAGTAACGTCACAAGACATAAATGCCGACCGAAATGTTCTTCTCAGCCTTAAACAACAGCTGGGCAATCCACCGTCTATTCAATCTTGGACCTCATCTTCCTCACCCTGCGATTGGCCGGAGATCAACTGCACGGCCAACTCCGTCACCGAAGTTCATCTCGCTGACAAAAACATCACGGTACCTATTCCTCCGACAATCTGTGATCTTAAAAATCTCACTTTGCTTGACCTTGCTTACAATTATATCCCTGGAGAGTTCCCGCCTCTTTCCAATTGTTCAAAACTCCAGACCTTAGACCTCTCTCAGAACTATTTGTTGGTCCAATTCCTGACGAGATTGACCGGTTATCAAATCTGGTTTACTTGGATGTTGGTGCCAATAATTTCTCTGGCAATATTCCACCAAGTATTGGGAGATTATCAATTTGCAAACCTTATACACGTACCAGAACCTGTTCAACGGCACATTTCCCAAGGAAATTGGAAACTTATCCAATCTTGAGGTTTTGGGTATGGCTTATAATGAGTTTTCCCCATGAGAATACCTCAAGAGTTTGGTCAGTTAACTAATTGTGGTACTTGTGGATGGCACGAACAAATCTGATCGGTGAACTCCCTGAAAGTTTCAACAACCTTTCCAGTTTACAACACTTGGACTTGTCTGGAAATAATTTGGAAGGTCCAATTCCTGGTAGGCTATTTTCGTTGAATCTAACGCATGTTTATCTCTACCACAATAAGCTTTCCGGTGAGATACCCCGACCCGTTGAAGCGATGAATTTAGTGGAGATTGATCTTTCGATGAATACTTTGACTGGCTCCATTCCTGAGGACTTTGGCAAGTTACAATATCTGGACTTCTTAAACCTGTTTTCGAACCAGTTAACGGGAGAGTTGCCAGCAAGCATTGGCCTTCTGCCTTCTCTGAGAGATTTTCGTGTTTTTCGGAACAACTTAACCGGCGTCTTGCCACCAGAGTTTGGCCTTCATTCGAAGCTTGAAGGGTTTGAGGTGTCACAGAATCAATTCAGTGGCCAACTGCCTGAAAATTTATGTGCCGGAGGCGTGCTGCAAGGAGTGGTTGCTCATACAAACAATCTCAGTGGGGAAGTGCCAAGGTCGCTTGGAAATTGTCGCACTTTACGCACTTTTCAACTTCAGAACAATAGGTTCTCAGGTGAGATCCCTCAAGGTCTATGGACAAGTTTCAATATGTCGAGATTGATGTTAAGTAACAATTCGTTTTCGGGTGAACTACCACGTGAAATTGCACCAAATATGTCGAGGGTGGAGATTAGTGACAACAAATTCTCCGGTGAAATTCCAGCCACGGTTGCTTCTTGGACAAATTTGGTCGTCTTTCAGGCTAGCAACAATTTGTTTTCAGGTAGAATTCCAAAGGAGATAACCAATCTTTCTAGCCTTACAACCCTGCTTCTCAACGGTAATGATTTTTCTGGTGAATTACCATCTGAAATAATCTCGTGGAGACAGTTGACTACATTAGATCTCTCCAATAACAAGCTTTCTGGTGAAATCCCTTCTGCAATTGGTTCATTACCTAACCTGCTTAACTTGGATTTATCAGAAAACCAATTCTCTGGTGAAATTCCTCTCGGAATTGGCAATCTAAGGCTGACTTCACTCAACTTGTCATCTAATCAACTTGTTGGGAGGATTCCGGGTCAGTTCTATAACCTTGCATATGAAAACAGTTTTCTGAACAATGCTGATCTATGTGCAGATGATCCAATTCTTATGCTGTTGGACTGCAATTCCGAACTACATGAATCCAAGGGGTTGTCCTCTAGACATCTTGCCATTATTCTACCATTTGTTATCCTTATTTCTCTCGCTATCCTTGTGTTGAGCTTCTTCATAGTTCGAGACTATAGGAGAAAAAGCGCAGACAGTATCTAGAAACATGGAAGTTGACCTCATTTCAGAGATTGGATTTCACTGAAGGAAAAATATTGTCCAGTTTGACAGATGAAAATCTCATAGGAAGTGGTGGATCGGGGAAGGTTTACCGAATTATCATTAACCATTCGAATGAGTCTGTTGCTGTGAAGAAAATTTGGAACACTAAGGAACTGGATTACAAGCTCGAGAAAGAGTTCTTGGCAGAAGTTGAAATACTGGGCAGCATTCGCCATTCCAACATAGTGAAGTTATTGTGTTGCATTTCCAGTGAAGATTCGAAGCTTCTGGTATATGAGTACATGGAGAATCATAGTCTTGATAGATGGCTTCACGGGAATAAAAAGCCGTCAGTATCGGGGACGGGCTCAGTTTATCATACTGTCTTGGATTGGCCAACACGGTTGCAAATTGCTGTTGGAGCTGCTCAGGGGCTATGCTATATGCACCATGAGTGTCCAACGCCAATAATCCATCGCGATGTGAAGTCGAGCAATATTTTATTAGACTCTGAATTCAAGGCAAAAATTGCAGATTTCGGACTTGCTAAGATGCTAACTAGGCATGCAGGTTCTCACACAATGTCTGTAGTTGCAGGATCTTTCGGTTACTTCGCCCCAGGTAAAAATCCTTAAAACTTAACTGATATATCCTTTTGAATATCAACTATCTCCTGAATCAGAACATCCCTTTAACATAAAGTTGTCATTTGAAAAACAGAGTATGCATATACGGCAAAGGTGAATGCAAAGGTAGATGTTTACAGCTTTGGAGTAGTAATCTTGGAGTTGGTGACGGGAAGAGAAGCTAATAACATAGATCAGAATATGAACCTAGTCGAATGGGCGTGGCATCACTTCTCAGAGGATAAGCCAATACCTGAAATACTTGATCCAGAGTTGAGAGAATCATCTAACTTGGAGGAAATGATAATGGTGTATAAGATAGGAATCACGTGTACGCGTGCATCTCCCTCTACTAGGCCTTCCATGAAGGAAGTATTGCATGCCCTTCGTAGCTGTTGTCCGGAGGATGGTCAGGGAGCCAAAAAAAAGGTTAGCAACATCGATGTGGCTCCACTTCTTGGCAGTGTCTCTGGCACTTACCTCTCCAGTTACAAGAACAGTAAGAAGGGATTCGGATTCAAGGAAGATGGCAGCATGATTTTCGATGTTTGATCAACCATGCGAAATGCCTGCTCTATATTCACCGTCATGTGAAAGGATTCCCATATGAAGGAGCTTTGCTTGTTTAGTTCCACTCTAAAGAAAAATTAACATTGGATGAGTGATTATCCGCTGGATGTATTAGGTTAGGTTAGAAAAGGCTACTGTACTGTTGTATTCTAAGCTGAACATACTTTCGTGCATCATAGATTTTCCTTTCTCTCAAGAGTGACGAGTCAATCAAGTAAAAAAGCATTGATGAACAGTATTGCAAACATACAAAGGACAAAGAAATGATACAAGCAACGTCCCTGTTTGATTTACAACTTCTCGATAAAGTACCGATTTATGAATGATTCATCAGTAAACTAATGGTCCTTTGCAAAAACGCTCAAAAGGCAGCACCAAGCTAGAACCCTACTGCATAATACGCCTAAAAGGAACAGCCAAAGAACCTAGCTATTAGGTTAGGTTGTTCTCGTGTTATATTTTGTGCTATTATTGGGGCCAAAAGGATCACAAGAAACCAAAAAAAGAAAAGATGGATTCAACTTTTTTGTACCAAAATAATAATACAATGGAAAATAGAAAAAGATGCTGCATATCTCACAACAAATCATTGCAATTTAAGCATACAAATGAGTAATAGTATATTGTTATTCGTACAAAGCTTGGATGCATCTGTCGCAAAAATCAGAAATCTTTGCATAATCATCCTCTCAAAAAAGAATTAAGAGGAAGGGGTGTGATTTAAGCTCTATAGATGCCAGATGGGTCCGCATTTTGAACAATCCATGGGTGCTCAAGAAGTTTATGCAGTGGCAGGCGTTCTGAAGAATCTTTGACAAGCATCTGTAAGTAATGTTAAATTGCTTAGGATATGAATTAAACGTCGTTAATTGCAAGTTATTAAGGCAACAAACAATACCTGACTAATGAGGTCCTTAGCTGCAGATGAAACTATGGGTTTAGGAGGGAACTTCAGATCCACTTGCACAATCCTGTGGACGAGGTAAAGTAAGGCACATCTGCATCTAACCGAAAAAATGTCACTTCTTTCTCTTAGTTTTCAGCTGAAACTTACCTTCGGTAAGTGTCAGAGTTTTCCTTGGCTTCAAAAGGAGGGACTCCGTAAAGGAACTCGTAGCACAACACACCAAGGCTCCAGATATCTACACTAGCATCGTGCTCTACACTTTCGACTGAGAAGAACATCAAAAATAAGGTGGAACTTAGTTTTTGTCTTACTCTAATTGTTTCCCGTACCCCCATAAATGTTACTTTTGGCAAAATTGGTTTCTAATGATTTACTAAATACATACCCATTTCAGGAGGGAGATAATCAAGTGTGCCGCACATAGTCCGCCTACGGTTAAATGTGTGTACTGACCATCCAAAATCAGCAATCTTAAGTTCACCCTGGAAAGGAACCCCCCCAGTTGACAATATGAGGCACTATAGGCTTTCAATGTAAAAAAACAAAACCCAAAAGATAAGTAGGAATCACCTGTGCACCAATTAGCAAGTTCTCGGGTTTGATGTCTCGGTGTATTACATGTTTTCCATGGCAATAAATGAGTGCCCGAGCTAAAGATGCAACATACTGCAACAAACAATACAAGCATTACAAACTATTACAAACATAAGCATACAAAACAATCATCAAATTGGTCCCCTTTTTTTTCCAGCAAATTGTTTAAGAGTTACAAACTATCACGAGAATCAATTGGCCAAAAAACCAAAAATTTAACTCACAGTAGCCGCACGTCTTTCACTGAAGTATTTACATTTCTGCAGTTCCTTGTAAAGTTCTCCCTTGGCTGCATACTCCAGTATCAGGTAAACCGTTTCTGCAAAAATTGGAATTCAGGAAAAACAAATGTTAATCCATTCAATTAACTTGTACACAATGAAGAATCAGTATAGGCCTATATACCTGATCATAGAAATAACCATAAAGCCTCAATATATTGGGATGGCGCAGGTGACTTTGTATTTCCACTTCGCGACGGAGCTGATGTTCAACTTGAGATTGTTGCAATTGGTTTTTAAAAAGCACCTTGAGTGCCACAATATGATTGCTCTGTTCCAGAAGTACATATGGATTAGCCTAGTACTAGATTTACAGATAATAATATCATATGTCAATGGTTGAACTTTGAAATTGCGTAGTTTATGACCAGAAAATAATAACAAGGAAAACATCCAATTTTCCTCGTATTAGCACAAAAAAGGATCCATGAAAAAAAGGTGAAAGAAACAAACCCTCTTTTCTCTAGCTAAATAAACGTGACCAAACTTTCCTCGTCCAAGGGGCTTTCCAATGTCAAAATCGCTAAGCGTCCATCTTTTCTTTTCAGCCGCTGAAGAAACCTGTTAAAATTTTAATATGAACAGATTAAAATACAAATACCAAAATCCCAACATTGTGTAAAAGCAAGATAAATCAATAACGCTCAACTCAAAAGTTTTCGAAATCCGCTAATCCTAGATACGAAAGGGTACGGAAACCAGACATAAGACTTGCCAAAATACCCAAATCTGCCATTAGAACCCTAAAAATCAATCCTGTTTAGGTATTTTAGAAAATTCATACGGCGAAAACCCCTCTCAAAACTCTCTCTTCTACAAAAGAAAAAGACTGAAAAAATCCAGCATCATTTGGTTCTTTAAGAATGAAAAACAAAAATGAAAATGAAAATTAAACTAATTTCCCAAGAAGAAAAATAGGAAAGAAAATCTTAACCTTTTCTTGTTGTTGAGAGTTGTTCTCAGAGATCGCCATTGTTTTAGAAAGAGAGCAAAAACAAAATTTGAGGGGAAAGAGAGGGAAAGGCCGAATGAGAAAAAACACCGATAGGGAATTTATTATTTGATTGAGAATGGAAAAAAAAGAGAGGAAAATGACAAAAATAAAAAAGAGTTGTTATGATATGAACTATGATTTTACATTGGGAGTTGGATCGGAGGAGGCCCCATTCCCAACGGTCGAATTACTCAACTGTGCCACGTTGGATGTTTAATTTCAAAATTTTCCTTCGTTGAGATCTGAGGACAGGAGGAGCTTCTCTATAGTTAGAAAAGGAGCTCAAGCTACAAGGCTGTCATGTATGCTATATCATACGGATATGGGCTACGTAAGGTCAATGCCTGGGCCTATGGACAATGATCTATTAAGCTAAATGGAAAAATATTAGCCCAACTTGAAAAAGGGGTATATATGCATCTGTTTTCTTGGCTTTGTTTATGTGCTAAGTGGAAAGGGACAAATGGGAGGGTTGAGACCATTTCAATATAATAGCAACTATCATCTATACGTAGGATTTACTTATATACAAATTATATCTCTAAATAATAATTAAGTTTCTATTAAATAATAATTGAAATGATCATGCGCCATTCAATTTTAGTTTAATGTCTATTTTGGTTTGTTTACAATCATTCTATTTTTTTTGGGTAAGTTTAAACATTATATTTTCATTTTATTCCCCATTTTAATTCATTGCTGTTATCATAAAAATGTCACTTTTTTATTTTATTTTTAAAGAAATTTTCAGGTTCTTTTTATATTTTTAATGATTATTTATTTTGTATGTTCTTGTTGTTGGTGCAGCACTTGGCCATTGATGCACTTGGGAAAGGAGGCATCTTATATATATATATATATATTTGAGAACAAGGAAAAGGTAAACATCTCAAGTGTGAAGGGAAATCAGAAAGAAACTTTGCATTGTGATATTAACCTAAAGAGATTGGAAAGATCAAACGATATTGCAAAACAGATACACAAATGAATTCCTTAAAGCATATAACCCAATTGGTTATTTACATTTTAACTCCAAAATTATAAGGAAAACCGTGTGAACTTGCAAAGAATGAATGCCATTGTCAGTCATCCTATATCCCTAATATTTTGCTTCTGATTTTTCTCACCTTTCTTTGTTCCTCTTTGCATTGGTAATCGACTTCTTTCAAGTAACTTGCAGACCAAAATGAACAAAAGAACCTTGTTAACAAGTATGTGTTTGGTATGACGGGTCATGACTGCCAAAAAAGCTCAAAATCATCACTATACAATGAGCGATCTTGAATCTCTAGATTAGTGACATGCCAGTTTATAAGCTGTGATTGGAAAAGTTTACACAAAACCAACCCAGCAGGGAAGATCCACCACTCGTTTTCATCCCTGCATCCATAAGCCACACCCATGTTTAAAACGAGAATGGGATCACATTTAAAAATTTCCTTTGCACTTGCTAAAAGATCGACTTACATGTTAATATTCCATGGCTGGAGGGCCGGGATCCTTTTACTCAATGATGACTGACTGTTATAGTTAAAATACCCACAAAGAAATGCAACCTGGTGAAAGATGAGATGATATTTTAGAGTAACAAAAGGATTTTTCAGAACTGGAGAAGGAATATATATTGTATCTTCTTCCTCTATAGAAATTACAGGAAAACAAGCAGGCAGCAAGTTTATCAATTCAAATATATTATAAGTTACGGTAACTTACAACATTAACCAAGGATGTTATGTTCCATAAAGCATAGAAGCGTGCAAGACCTGCAGAACGCTTTTGTCCGTGACCGAATAAAGCATTTATGCCAACAGGAAACGGGAGAAGAATGCCAAGAGGTACAATAGACAAAAACAGAACGACATCCACCAATGATACTGAATACAACTGGAGGAATGTAAGCAACACTAGGCTCAAATCTTCTAAAAGCAGTATTGATATGAGTAAGCCAACAAGATCCTGCAACTATAAACAAAGGTGTTAGAGAAAGATTTGATAATGAAAAAAAAAACAATATAATCTTAAATTTCTGTAACCTACCTGGTGACCAACAGGTTTAGTATTATGGACAAAGAAAGAGAGAAGGTAAAATATATCTCTCTTCTCTTCAAGCATCTGTAAGTTGTTAGTATCTATAACCTCTCCGCAACTCCTCTTCTCCTTTGCAAAACCTCCATTGCTTTGGTTATCTAGGGTTAAAAGCACATCTTCTCGTGGATAACCAGATTGATTTTGAATGTATGTGGTCTTCAAGCTGAAGCAAATGCGAAAATAACCAGGTTAAGTTTCACATAATTAGGTATAAAATGAATCATCATATGCACGCTTGCCCACAGACATTTATGTAAGAGTTTAAATGTCTTTCCATCATACGTTACAAGCATTACCAACTTTAGTTCCCTGTGTTTTTGTCCAAGATTCCTTACAGGTCATCAGATCCCAGTGCTGGGATTGTAACACCCCCAACCCGTATCCGACCCGGATACAAGTCCGAAGTGTCACATTGACTTTTCAAACATTTATTCGTATAAAATAGTGAGTAATTTAAAAACTTTGATAACATTTAACTTATTCAAAACATTTACAAAATATATCAGAGTTCATACAATTTTTATCTTTAGACTACATGCCAACTACACTCTATATACAATACATATATTTTCTGATCTGACATTTGGTAAGGAGAACTGACCTGTCTTGCTTCGCATTACTCTTTACTCTTCTCGAAACCTACGTGTGAAACAATCACACGCTAAGTCGTTGACTTAGTGAGGCATATAAAACATATAATATTTCATATAACATAAATCATACATAAACATATACCATCATTATCATTAAGAAACACACATAACATCATACAGTTCATGTAACACATTTCAAACCACTTATAAACCCATCGTATACATATCACATTCAGTATGCTTGTTTAATCACTTTATTAGCCCATGTACACTAGTGAGAACTTAAGGTATGTGAGTACATTGAGGTTGTGCACACATATGTTGTCACCACAGCTCGATCAATGTCCCGAAGGACCAGTCCATAGATTCCGAAGAACCTAGGTAAACAGTCCATATGTCCCGAAGAACATAGGTAAACAGTCCATATGTCCCGAAGAACATAGGTAAACAGTCCATATGTCCCGAAGAACATAGGTAATGTAACACCCCAAACTGATGCGGGTAGCCCGATCCGATTCAGGAAGTCACATTAGGGCCACCGAAGCGACCCACCGTAAAAATAGCGGAAATTTTAAAACTTTTTATCAAAACATGTAAACTTATAAAATCATTTATCCCTATTTAAAAATAAAACAGATTTCCAAACTCGTATATAAATCAAAATACAATTACATGCCCCCTAATCACAAGTACCATACTCTGCAACCACGCCGGAAGAACTCCTTTACTGAAGTCGATAGATGCACTGGTACAATTGTTTTAACCTGAAAAGGTGAGTAATAGAGTGAGCTTTGGAAAGCTCAGTAATACAGAACTACCAGATGATGCTACATGACATGTTGATAAATGGAAATCCATATAATTTCCTTATTGAATCATACGTATACCAGCTGGTAGAATAATTTGGGGTTCCCTTAGAAGTTCATCGAGTAGAAGCCATGAATCTCAGTTTATAAGAAACCTTTCAAAGTATGACATTTTCAGGAGATCGAATAGGATGTCTAGTGTGTTCCAACAGTATAATAAAATCATAATAGGTACAAATCATAGTCCAGTAAATCTCACAATTTCGTAAAAAAGTTTAACTTTTGAAAATCATAGTTTAAACCCTTTTCTGGTACACCATCAGTAGTTCCCAAAAATTATTTTCCATATAGCTTACTTTATGCACATAGCAAAAAAGAAAGACGACTTAAGGATAGGCTATGAAGCTTGTATCCTTAAGCCCAAGTCAATAAGTCCATATAGCTTACCCTAAGCACACAGCAAAGGAAAGCCGACCTAATGAAACATCTTGGGGCCCTCAAGAGTCACATTAGGCCCAGTTAGCTTGATCAGAGCTATTCCATCGTAATTCAATTCCAAAATTCAATTGCACCGTGACATAAATTCCATAAATCCAAAAACATGGTAATCATATACCATTTCAAAACAAAAATTAGATAGCAGCCATATTCCATAAATTGTCACATTAAATTGGTGCATCCATAAAACAATAACCAATGAATTCGGTGTACCACATATTAAAACCATAAACAGTTCAGTAATAAGTAGGGAACACACTAGAGAATCCAAGTATTTCCAGAGGCCATTGTAGTTATCATTTTGGATAACATGAAACTTATGAAATTTGAACGAATTCCTGGAACAAGATCCTATTGAGGAGAATCGATTACTAACCGATCTAGCCAGACATTTAATGTTGATACATTAGAATCCCACTATATTTTCGTGTGCTTTAGGAAAACGTTCAGGAACCTTTATACATAATAATTCTAAATTCAGATTTACTACGAGTGATTCCATTACCCAAACAATCAGGGGTATTTAGGAATATACTTTAAATTCATAGGATTTCAACCCAATTGAACCAAATGAGATATTCAGAATCTTTTCCATCTGCGTTACTTGTTTTTTTTCCAAACATGACCGAAGTGATTTTAGATGAAATATAGAATCGAATATTCAAGTCATTTACAATCTACGACTATCGATCATATTATCAAACAAATCGAGTTACACAACTCTCAAACTGATGCATGTCAACAAGTCAATTCATTATCCTTCCAGTGTATTCACTCTTTAATACCATAGTGCAGATCTATAGATCATCCCCATAATCATCACTGAATAAATCTTCCAACGGTCTTTATTTCATTTCCACGTTTCAACAATATCAGGAAATACTGACGTACTTGATCCATGGCTCATAACCCATAATGACAATTCATCATGTAAGTTCAACAGTGTTTCCAAACTCATCAAATCACCTATTTAATCCATAGTCATTGATGTTACTTAGTTCGTTTGGTAAGCAAGTCTATCCCGATTACTTTAAAGTTTTCCAGAATAATTCAGACGTTTCTGAATTTCAAATACACGTTGTACTTCATTTCATTTCAATTTATTTATATAATAAAGTCATTCTGGTATTCGTGGTTGATTTGACTAACGACTACCCACTTATTAGTACTGTATGCGCTCTAGAGTTGAGCTGCCCCAAGTACTTCCAGAATTATCATCGATCCAAACTTGAGAAGATGAACAAACATTCAAGTGATACTTATATCATTCAGGTAATGATATAGTACTAACGTTGGTTAATCACTTAAGTTGCGTTCCACAACTTTTACTGGTAGCACAACATCCATGTTTATTTGGATTTCTTAATTAATCCAAGACATTTACTTATTCTAGGTCATAAGGGCATTTTGGTCATTTTGGTGCTTAACATTTTTTCTATTCATTTCAAAGCTTGAGTATATCCATTCATTCCTGAGCTTGGTGACATTCTTGAGTCATTTCCATTCCAGGGGTAATTTGGTCATTTTATAATTCTAGAATATTTCAATCATTTCCTTCCATCCGGTCTTATTATTTAATTCAATCTTATCATTTACTTTAGTCCTTTCGAACAATTCTGTCAGCAGAATACCTCCGATAAATTACTCTTCAAGTATTTAATCCTTATTCGAATATTTTCAGGTCAAGTGTCTTCTCAGATTTTACAAATGGAATATTATAAATTTTTCTGTACAAAGACAGGATCTTAACAATTAAATTCGTACTTAATCGAGTTAAGTACAAATCCTCAAAGTACTCTCTCATTCAGGGTCAATTCAGACTATTTTATCACTCAAGAGCATTTTCGTAATTTCTTAACCAGATAATTTCAATAATAGCTCTTAACGAAAATAATTATAATTTAGAGATCCTATGATCAATTGCTTTCCCGAACATTCTTTGATTTTGAAATGATTCCTTCACAAACTCTCATAGGATTAAAACCGGTTATCCATAATTTCCAAATAAAACTAACATTTCTTATGCACATCAGTAGTTATATAGGATCAATATGTCTTTTCAGAGTTATTAACCAACTTCCAGTGGCAATTCTTATCATTTTCCAACATAAGGGTAATTTTGTAATTTTACCATATCGGAGTATTCTCATAATTTTTCATCCAAGTATCTTTAACATTTAACCCTTGATGATATAAAATATAAGTTACAAATCCAGAGCTGATTTCTTATCACCAATCACAAACTTGTAATTTAATTCTAACAATTATCAATCTCTTATCTTAGTCATTCGATCCGTATTCAGTTACAGAATTTCTACCACATTCATATCGAGTGAATAAATTATTCAACTCCACAAAAGTGACCAACATTATCTTATTCATGCATTCACCAATATCAACATGTTCCATAAAGCATAAAGAGGTAGTAAAGTATTACCTCGATTTCCGTGCAATACCGATCGACCATAAAAATTCCATTCGAATGCCTTTGATCTTCAATTCAACTTCAAATAATTCCTCAGATACATATCAACATAAATTATATCAGAAACGGAGCTTAATTGCGATAAACGGATCAAATCGGGTGATAAATCAGTGAAATACGGCTTACCGGATTCGAATTTGGCGAAACGGACTTCGGATTCGGATTCAGGACGTCGAAAGCATAAAATGTGACTTTTCAAAAATTTGGAATTTTCGGTCAAAATCAAAGTCAACGGGTTTGACCAGAAATTTCGAGGCCTTCGGGTTCGAATTTCGAAAAACGGACAGCGGAATCAGATTTGGAACGTCGAAAAATGTCAGGATAGGTATACTCGATCGAATTCAAAGGTCGTTTAATGCCCGGTCAAAGCTAGTCAAAGTTTTGGTCAACAGTGGTCAACGACGGTCAACGGGTCAACGGGTCGGGTCGGTCAACGGGTCGGGTAAACGGGTCGGGTCGGGTCAACGGGTCAGGTCGGGTTGTGACCGGTCAAACCGGTCAACTATGCACCAAAACCGGTCAAACCGGTCATTTTTTTCTTCCCCACGCGCAGTGACGGCGCGTGAACAGTGCTAAAATCCTGGAAAATTTTCTAAAAATTATTTTGAGCGATTTCGAGATACTTACAAAGCTCGGTTCACAATTTTGAACGGCGGAGAGCTCGATTTCAACAAATCGGAAACTTTGACCGCTTCACCTCCTCACGCGCCACCGTCGACAGAGACCAAGGATGACATCGGCAAACTCATAACGATGCAACGAACACGATGGTGTGGGAGGT